AGACTCAGTTGTCGTAGGGGTCAGAGTTGAATTATTGTCAGACTCAGTTGTCGTAGGGGTCAGAGTTGAATTATTGTCAGACTCAGTTGTCGTAAGGGTCTGATCTGCAGGATCAGACCAAGTTGTCGTAGATGACAGAGCACTTGAGGCAGAAGCTGCTGTGATTTTGGTTGCAGGAACAAAGAAGACAAGTGTCAGAAGACAGTGAATTGGATAAACAATGGTAATTACTGTCAATTCTAATCAGCACTCAACTTAGGGTTTTCTGGAAAAATGAATATATACATACATATATATATGATTATGTTAAAAATGGAAACACATGACTACTTCTAAACACTTCTAAAAAATAAATAAAATTAAACGGACAAAAATGGAAAATGTTACTGAAAACTGTGACACTTACTAATAATGTAGCTTAACGATAGGTATGGAGAACTTAGTGTGGAGTTGGTGTGATAACATTTATTATGAAGAGTACAAAGTCAGGAGAGATGGTATATGCCTGTGGAGGCCAGCCTGGGCTACATGAGACCATGTCTCAAAAATGAAAACAAAAACGAAGAACACTGAGATAAGTCCTTGAACTTTGGAGACAGAGGGAAGAGGCTCTGGACTTCAAGGTTATCTTTTGCTATCTATAAAGTTCAGGGCTAGCTTGAGCTACAAGGAGACTCTATCTCAATAAAAAAAAGAGATTAGTATCAGGTAATAACAAAATTTATATCTATAGTTGGGAAACTGCCAATCTGTGTTTAATAAATTCCCAGACAATTCAGAAGAAGACAATCGAAAGTGCCACCAGGTGGTGCTGCTCTTACCAGGAAGAGGAGCCTATTTATTTATTTGTTTGTTTGTTTGTTTGTTTATTTATTTATTTATTGTGGCTTTCTATATTTTAAGGTAATTGCCCCAGTTCTCCTTTGTGGGGTAGTTTTCTCTGTTGATAGACTATAGAAGGGGAAATTAAGAAGGAAGTATTTAAAGAATAATTACATAGATTACATAAAAATACTTCATTAAATCCTGATTAAACTTCTTCCAGAGCACCTATAGGGTGCCAACTATTGGCTTAATAAAAATATCCCCTGGATGGGCTCTTTTCCAGAACACTCCAGGACCAACACTGTCCAGGGCATATCATAGCTAATGTTAGCTGGGAGCCACAACATGCCTCTGCCAGGCAGAAGTCCTTCAATAGTAAGACATGTTAGTTCCCACTAGATGCCGTGGGAAAGAGCAGCCATAGAGCTCAGAGAAAGCCAAACACTGGCAAACGGTGCCTCCTGAAGGGACTTAGGAAATCATCTGAGAACATCTTCATTGTCCAGTAAGTACTTAGGATACTTTTAGGTAGCAGAGATAGAAGGTGCACAAAATCCACTTCCTATCCTTGGCCGCTAAGACTGACCCGGAACTCATGCATCCACACACTAGACAAATTCTCAAGATTCCATAGGAATGAAAAAAAATTCTTTTTCAAAATCAAGCCTGTCCACTGTAGTCTATGTGGCCGTGGGATGCTTGGGTGGGACAGGTCAACGCAGGGTAGGGCAGGTACTTGCTTCGTTTCATACACTTCTGGGCGGCCTGAATGTCTCACAGCCAGTCTACATCACCAAAACAACTTTTAAACAAGAGCAAAACACAAATGTTTAAAAATTGGACACAAGGGCCAGGAGTGGCAGCCTTTAATCCCAGCACTCGGGAGGCAGAGGCAGGTGGATCTCTGTGAGTTCGATGCCAACCTGGTCTACAAAGAAAGTTCCAGGACAGCCAGGATTGTTACACAGAGAAACCCTGTCTTGAAAAACAAAACAAAACAACAACAACAAATTGGGTACAAGGGCAGATATGACCTAAGTGCCAAGGTCACTATCTATCGGTTTCTCGCCATGACGGCCACTCTTCAGGATAGGGCTGCCTCCTCTATGATCACACAGGAAGAAACCGCAGCCCGTCACTCACTACACAGTGTTTGGATCCCTGCCTGCCTTCCTCTGATGTGTGGACTCTGCTCCTGTCCCCTGCTGGGGGACTTCTCTGGGCCGAGACTCCTTACTATATGTATAGGGTATCTTGAGATCAATGACAATGGATCCTCTGACCTCCAGCCACTTCCCCAAGCCCTCCCAGAAAAGCATTCCCTTCTCAGTATCCCGTTCTTATGTCTTACAAGAAGGCAGGCATTCCTTCTGCATGGTGGACTCCTGGAAGCCACGTAGATCTGGCCAGTTCTTGTTGGGGCCTGAAGGTTTGGCCACAGGGCCTGCTGGAGCAGGCTTGGCAGGGGAGATCTAGTGAGGCCTGCCCTCCTGTTAGGACAACCCCCCAACCCCAAGATTGAAACCAGCTCTCAAAAAAAAAAAAAATCATATCTCGGGCCAGAGAAATAGCTCAATAAGTGAAGAAAAAGAGCTCGCTGCCAAGGCTGACAGCCCGAGTTCAATCCCCCTCGAACGGTGAGAGGAAAGAACCCACTTCTGTCCTCTGACCTCCACACACAGGCACCCGTAGGTAAATAAATGACTTTTTAAAAAGCCACATCTTGCCATGCAGGTAGGCTCATGCCTAGAACCCAGCACTGAAGGCAGATGAAGCAGAAGCTGAAGTTGGTCTGCTATATAGACAGCTCAGTCAGCCTTGGCAGCCTGGAATCGAAACAAGCGGCCCTCTAAGCTCAGTTTCGCTTCCCCTTTCCACTGTGTCAAATGCCTTATTCCTTTTTTGCATTTGGCTTCTGGATCTGGAGTCCTCTCTCAGACAGGTGGGCAAATTCCTCACCCACTCACACCCAAATAACTCCCCAGTCCGGAAGAGGAGCACCTGTATGAGGTCCAACCCACACCGGGATTGCTCTTTTTGGCCAGTGATCTCCAATTTCAAGCCGGGGTGACAACAAAGGTATCTTCCCCCTGGGCCTGGCTCTCTGATGATCCCAGGAACAGTCCCAGCTTGCCACTGTAAGATACCTGACCCTTGAAATACTGAGTCATCTTTAGCCAACCTCAGACAAACCTCCGCCCTGCTGTGTCCCAAAGTCACTCTTAGATGTCTTTTGCTACTTCTGTCTTTTTGGTTACAAACGAAAAATGCCAGCGTCTTTAAGCTGAGCTGGACAAGAAATTTCCTTTACCAAATGGTCCCAAGTCAAGACCGCCAGCAGATTCAAGAACTGGCAGGCTTGAGCCTGCTTGCCTTGTTTCAGAAACCACAAAGCCACCTGAAGTAATCAAGTTACAGAAACAAAAAAAAGGTTTCTTACCCAAGAGCACCAAAAGGAGACCAAGAGAGAGAAGCAGGGAGGCTTTCATGGTGGCTGTTCTTGCTGGATAATCCAAGGAGGAAATGGGTCCTCTCCTTGGCTGCTGGAGTTTTAACTGTCTTTCGGGTCCGAAGTCCAGTCATTAACTGACGTCAATACAGGCAAAGGCAATTTGCTGTTAGAATCTGGTCATATACCACAGGCTGCTTCCAGCCTCAGAGGTGGATGACCGGAACCCAACTTCAAGATGATTTCCTTGACACAAAGTCCAGAACAACTCAGGACTTCTGAGATCTCTTTAGAAATCTTCGCAAGGTGAGAGGTGAGTGCGATCAGTTAATTTCCTCGTATCTTGGGCATGGCTGACCTATCTATCACCTGTTTAAGCCCACTGTCCCTTTAAGCACTCATCTAGACGTAAATGATGGTCTCACCTCCGACCCCCTTTTAATTGCTTGAAGACTACAATTTTGTGTGTGCACACCATGGTGCTCATATGGATGTCAGAGGACAGCGTGTGGGGTCGGTTCTTGACCTTTCCCATGTGGGGTCAAGGGATGGAACTCAGGTCATCAGGCTTGGTGGCAAATGCCTTTGCCACTGTGTCATCCCCTCGGCCCTCACCCACCCCACCCCCGTTGACTACACGGAACTCAGTTTTCTCCCCCTGGGGTTCCAAGCATCCCTGATAAGTACTTTGGTGTTTCCCCAAACGGTCTGTGAGTTGACTTCTGTTATCTTTTGTTGTGGGCTCCCACTCTGGGCTTCCTTCACTGGTCACCTCTAGAAACTTTATAATCACACCTCCAAGCTTCCATGGCTCTCACAAGTCACTCTACCTGGACAGAGACCCCAATATGCCATGCTCCTATTAGAAGCAGCTTGAAGGTCCCTGAGGGATGGACTCCCTCTCGCATAATCAGCTTGGGCCCCCATCTGAGGTGTTCCCGATTTTAACAAGGGGAAAGTATCACAATTGCCTCTCCTTCGAAATCCCACATGCAAAGAGAAGACTTGGGAGGCAGAAGAGGCAGACAGATTTCTGTGAGTTGGAGGCCAGCCTGGGCTACCTAGAGAGTTTCAGGCCATCCAGGGCTACATAATGAGACTGTCTTTAAAAAACAACAAAACCCAGCTGGGCAGTGATGGCGCACGCCTTTAGTCCCAGCACTCGGGAGGCAGGGCCAGGCAGATCTCTGTGAGTTCAAGGCCAGCCTGGTCTACAGAGCGAGTTCCGGGACAGGCTCCAAAGCTACACGGAGAAACCCTGTCTTGGGGGTGGGGGCTGGGGGGGAACACCCACATACAAACAAAGCAAACAAACAAAACCAGAAACAGAACAACCACCATGTGAAAGGGGGAGAAAACGTCATAGTCTCTTTTCCTTACTATTTAAAGTAGCATGGGAAAGAGAGGAGCTGGAGATATGGCTCAATTAATAGAAGGCTTGCCGGCATGGACTAGGCATGGTGGCACAGGACTGTAATTCCAGTAATTGGGATCAGAAGTTCAAGGCACCATCTCTTTGTCTCTCACACACAACATTATATCACTAAACTCACTAAATAAAAA